TGCCACGGACATTACACTGACAAAAGGATAAAGTGGATCATTATGTTGTTACTTGCATTGTCCTTATGAGCCAGATGAAGTTGGGCTGGAGACATAGCACAATGGACTAGGCACTTGCTTAGGCAAGTGCCAGGACCGGGGTTTGATCTCTGGCAGCACATTCTGAGCTAGCCCCCCACTTGTCGCGCCCTAAGCCAGCCATTGAGACTGGGTGTGGTGGCGCACGCCTGTAATCCTACCGCTGGGGAGGCTGAAAATAGGGGGATCACTATGAGTCTAAACTGCGTATTGAGACCCTTACCGAATACATAAAAAAATAAAGAAATTACAGATGAAGTTCACCAAGAGGAGAATGACAAAAATCATGCCATTATAAAGTGTACCTCCTGCCAGGAGAATGCTGGCAAGTTTTCCCAAGTCATGTCATTTCTTAGCCACTCCTGTGTGGGGGTGACCTTTGTTCACTGTGCTGGTCCCTTTGGGGTTTCCTGTTAAATAACAGAATAGCATGTGGTACCTGCTGCAATCTCTAAAGGAAGGTGATCCATAGATTACAGAGGAAGATAACTGAAAAGAGAGGAACATTATGCTTCAGCAAAAACCCTCTCATTTCTCTTTTCAGTAGCCGTTTTCCTATGTTCCTGTTTTTGCTTTTGTGACATGCTCCTCATTCCTGCAATCAAGCAGTTCAACTTAAAGAGGAGATATAAAACTACGGGGCTCATTTTATTTCTACTAAATAAATTGATCAGCAGTTTAAAATGTTACTCAGGCGTGTGTGTGTGTGTACACATGTGCCCGCGCTAGCTTGGATACCTACTAAATACTATGTAGTTGTTGGGAAATATTAAGATCAATGAATGCAATCCGGAGTCTGACAATTTAATTTTGAATCTATTCAATCTCTTTATTATTTCTGTGATGTGAACATGTTGTATATTTAGCCTGATCCAGTGGAATCTGAAGTGATTTCTATTTGACACAGTGGAAATGAGGGAGAAATAAACAAATGTAATTGCTTCCTATTTGATTAGGATGTGAGGAATATGTAAAATAAGGATGAAATATAATTTAAATATTAGTACTGCTATTAATTATGAGTAAAGTTATGTTACTCAACTAAAATATCTTGCTAGTTAAATTTCTATTTCTCTGTATTTATGAAATGGACCGTTAAGATTTGTCTATATATATGTTGTGTATTAAAAAAAAACCTACCTAATGATAGCGATCCTTTCTAAAAATTGAATCTTTATGGTTTTGTAAAAAAAGAAACAGAGCATAGTTTATAATTTCTGTTTCCCCAGAATATATACTTTGATTGGTATAGAGGGGCCATCAAAAATCCAAATCCCCTTATACACTGGATAGATGATTGTTGGCCTCATAAAAACTTGGTTGTGATCAATGTGGTTCCAGAATATATAGTGCTTTCTCAGTGGGAATGTACAACAATATCTATGAATAAAGTAATAGTTTTAGCTGTATCATGAAAATTTAAGACCTAAAGATTTTTAAAATTCTTTACTTCATTTTAATGAGGAAAAAAGAAATAGCAATGAAACAGTTTCAAAACAGGTTAGTAGGATAGTTACAATAATTAATACATTGCATATTGTTGTCTTCATAGTAGTTATTCAGAGGACAAGATGCAGACATGTTATCTTGTCTAAACAATATTAGTACAAACGTTTCTTCTCATTGAGCTAAGGAAAAAGTAGGTGTATATCTATCTTATCATATATATATATATATATATATATATATATGAACAAAATGGTCCTTTATTTATATTTCCCTTTTTTGTTTTGTTTTGTCAGCAATGGGCGTTCCATTGCTGTTAGAGAAGCTGTAGTGGAAGAAATCTTTAAAGAACCTTTTCCTACTTGATGAGAGTCCAAAGAATGTAGGTACCTGAATTCAGCAAAGTAGCACAATATAGTCCAATAGTCCATAATAGTAGTGGGATACCAGTACAACTGGAAATTGTCCGAAGTTTTTGACTTGAGTATTTTATAGCTCAGCATATTAATATAGCTTCATTTTTTGTACCTCGTGGTTACACTTTTCTACTGGATGGTTAAAACCAAGTTAAAGCAAGACATATATAACTAAAAATATGAATTTTCTATTGGATAAGTTCGATCAAATTACCTGAGGATTTACCCTGCAACCATGTATGACACATTGTGGATCTTTTGCCAGTGTCAGCCATCTGGATGAGTCATGGCCATTGCTTGATCAATTTGATCTCTGTGAAAGTCTGAGAGAATTTTTTCTCTCTAGGTGAATCTTCTTAGGCACATTCTACATAGTTGATCACATTCCTCTGTGGCCCCATAATCTCCTTGATCAGAAAATTTGAGATACCACTAAGGTACAGGATGTCAGAGTAGAAATTCTATTATGTAGTGAGTCTTCACTGACCTTGAAGACCTTCTAAGGCTAAGGCCAAAATTTTGGCTATCCTTGTAGCCCATCTGTCTAAGACCTAAAGTTTTATTTAACAATGACATCACTGTTTTGCTATCCAAGTACATGTTTAGCAAAAAAGATATAAAGAAAGAAGCAGAGAGAATTGGCAAGATTTGCTCTTGAGTTGATGCATATTTTGAAATCATATTATTCCAAGTGTCACTGGCTTTTGTCATGTGTTTTCTTCAGTGAATCTACCATTTTTGTGACACTCTTTATTTGCATAAAACACAGGCAAAATTTTATCAAGTTCCAGACATCCCTGGAAAATGATTGGTGTTTTCCATTTTTTGCTTAGTTAGCAAGATTTGGAGATTCACACTCACTATTCACACAGTACAATCGCAATGCTAGGGGCCTGTTGGGACAGCTCAATGGACTAAAGCACCTGCTTAGGCAAGTGCAGGGACCAGGGCCCGATCCCCAGTTCTGAATGCCGTGATGGCCCCACCACCAGGCATGCTAAGCCAGCCACCGACACCAGGCTTGGTGGCACATGCCTGCAATCCCAGCACGGGAGTCTGAAGACAGGAGGATCGCTATGAGTCCTAGCTGTACAGTGAGACCTTATACCAAATATATAAATGAAAAAAAGAGCAATAATAGGGAACTTATATATTGATTTCCTAACTCCCATCCAAGGACATTAGCTTCTCCCTTGAAGATTAATGGAATTATTATTCTCTGCACAAGTTGATATTTGGTGGTCAATAAGTACACAAGTACTTTCCTTTAGATGTGTCAGCAGTACATTTGTCAGTTTGCATGAATGGTAGTAGATATCAGGTTGTATTTCATTAGGACACACTTTTTTATTGAGCAAAAAATAATGTAATGATTCATTGAATATCTTTCAGAAGAGCGAGATATTGTTTCACTGTTGACTGCATAGATGAGTAGCAATATGTATATAACGTGAAAACACTAAAATATTCTCACTGAAGTCACAACAGCAATTCTTTTGTGGAGCAATGGCTATGATCCAGTGTGCAGGAAAGTGGAATCACGCAAAGATATTAATCTTAAATCCCACAAGTGACAAACTGAATCTCTCTAAAATATCAGTTATATAGAACATGTTACTGTTTATTTTAAAAATATAGGTAGTTGCTGTTATAAAACATATATATATATGTGTGTGTATATATATATATATATGTATATATATATATATATAAATACACACATATATGTATATATATTTTTTCCTAAAGGATCATTTTGTAAATGCCAGAGAATAGTCAAAGGATGTCAACCTTTGTACAGAAAAGTACCACCAACAACGTCACGTGAAGACATAATTCTGCTGGTTTATGTAAAAGAGCAATTAAAGCTTAATTTGTTTTGTCTCTTTTTTTCAACTGTCGGTACTTTTTGTCTTCTTAATTTCTTGTAAGTTTCTTTTTGTTCTTTCTTCTTACAATTTTACATACATATATCTCATAATATGAATAACTGGTTGGAAGACAGCACTAAGTATTAGAACAAATACCGTGAAATTCATAGTACTTTGTTAAGGAAAATTCTGAATTACTATATTTTTTCTCTTTTAATTCTAAATAACACTCTCAAAAGTAAAAAACAAGAAAAATTATATTGGGTTCTCCAACTTGGTTTCCAGATATTAAAATATGTGCAATTAAACGTTAATAAATGGGAGCACTATTACTTTCTGCAATTGAAAAAAAAATTAAAAATTTTCCATAAGGCCACAGTTAGGTAAATATTGTCTCCCTTTCACAGATGATTATACAGTGTCCATATACTTTCATGTTTTTTCTGTAGTGCTCTTTTTTCTGTTTTCTATATTAAACTGTATTGTGGGCTGACCAAAGAATAAACACAAATTATCTTCAAATATCTGAGGTGAAAAATTATAGCCCATGTACCAGAAATGATTACTGGGAACATCTATTAAATTGTATAAGAATCATAAGGCTCACACTTGGATTTGGAGTTTTTTCTTGCTGGTACTAAAATCCTTAAAAATATGCAAAAGACCTTAAGCTTAGAAAACCAGAAGTATTCAGAGATCCTTCACTGTAGAATATGGAAGGGAAAACATTCCCCAAAGAAGTGCCTTTCTGCATTATTGTTTAATTAGTAATGGGAAGTGTACATTCATACCACTTCTGTGGTCAGCAACGGCACTGGTTATATGCATTTAATTTAAACATACTTATCAAATGGTGAAGTCCATCAAAGGTAGGTATACAAGTTATATATTAAGCAATTTTACAAATACAAAAATCATTTAGAGCAAATACTTGCTCTACAAAGGAAGATCATCAGAAAACAAAATAAAATAGACAAAATCTTGGGAAATAAATTACATATGTAAATACTTTTGAACATGAGCTGTTAACTTTAATTTAGGGTTCAGATAAAGCAGTCCTAACTCTCCAAACTCTTGCACAGTGTATTAAATATGCAAATCAAAGCAATTTTGAAAATGATTTGAATATTTGCTGTTTATTTTCTTTACCATTCTATTCTTTCAAAAGGTGCCCAAGAAGTTTGATGAACAAAATTTAACACATGTCTCAGAATTTCACCTCTTGAGGTTCTCAGAAGATCTGGAACTGCAGCCCATACTCTTTGGTCTGTTTCTGTCCATTTACCTTGTATCTGTGCTTGGGAACCTACTTATCATCCTGGCCATCATCTCCGACTCCCACCTCCACACCCCTATGTACTTATTCCTCTCCAACCTGTCTTTGTCTGACATTGGTTTCATCTCAACCACGGTCCCAAAGATGCTTATGAACAACCAATTACAGAGTAAGGTAATCTCCTACAGAGGATGCTTAGCACAAATGTCTCTTTTTTTAATTTTCAGATGTATGGATGACATGCTTCTGACTGTGATGGCCTATGACCGGTTTGTGGCCATTTGTCACCAGCTACAGTATCATGTCATCATGAACCCTCGCCTCTGTTTCTTCTTAGTCATGCTGTCTCTTCTATTTAGTCTTGTAGAATCCCAGCTGCACAATTTGATTATCTTACACTTTTCCTATTTTGAGAATATGAACATTTCTAATATCTTTTGTGAACCTTCTCAACTTTTAAATCTCACCTGTTTTGATGATTTCATCAAACATATAGTCACATATGCTGTAGGTACCATCTATGGCTTTCTCCCCCTTTCAGGGATTGTGTTCTCTTATTATAAAATAGTTTCCTCTATTCTGAAATTTCCTTCCTCAAGTGGAAAGCATAAAGCCTGGTCCACCTGTGGTTCTCACCTTTCTGTTGTTTGCTTATTTTATGGAACAGCTGTTGGTGTTTACCTTACATCCTCTGCATTACATTCCCCTATGAAGATTTCATTGGCTTCAATGATGTATGCTGTGGTTATTCCAATGCTAAATCCTTTCATCTACAGCCTGAGGAACAAGGACACGAAACATGCCCTGCGGAGGTTGCAGAGCCGAAGGATGTAGTTTTATTATCTCATCCTTTCATGTTGTAGTTTGCATTGTAAAAGTCAATCATCTACAGTTGCAAATAATCCACCCATTTAGACTTGCAAATTCTGCTTCTTTATTCACTTGTGTAGCTTTCTCCATTATGTCTGGGACAGCAGGATTTGTGCAAGGAACATGAGTCCATGCTTCGTGCTTCTTCTACTGTCTTGGGGACAGCAGAGTCTGTGAAAGGAACTTAAAGAGTATGCCTTTGTCAAGTAGACTGACCAGAACCTCAAATCCTGAGATCTCGGACAATGGTCAGGACCCAGACAAAGAAGCACATACATGACTTAGAAAGACAGGTCAATTAATTAGCAAGACCAGCAATGAAAAAGTGTCTACAGAAGTAGGGAGAAGCCAGGATTCCAGAGAATCCTGGAAGTTCAGAGTCAGCCCCATATTCAGAGGTCAATGTCAACTTCATACTGAACACATTTCTGAGATTAAATATGGGCACTATTACAGAACTGTAAACACCAGAGGTTTTTGTTTTTGTTTTTATTTTTACTACTTTCATTCTCCCTTGTTTGTCTGATTGGATTTCCCTTTCCTGTCTGGTTTGATGTCATTTTATTTTATGCTGTATCCTGTATAGTTGTATTTCTCTCCTCTTTTTCTTTCATTTCTTTTTCATTTTTTTCTTCCTTTCATTTTTGTTCTCTTTCTCTTTTCTTTTTGCAGTGTTTCGGTTTCTTATCTTTTCATTCTCTTCTATAGACTGCTTTTTTTCTCTTTCATTATCTATTTTATGATTTTCTTTTTGTCCAATGTTTCATAGGTAATTTTTTTGGTTCACCTTTAACTAGCAGTCACAAATGTACTTGAATCTTCTTTTTATCAAAACTGTCATGACTAAATTATTATAAACAGGCAACCTCTGTAGTTTCTGAGAAGTGGCCTAAGCTGCTAAGGGAAATGCTAAACTCTCTATAGATTTAAAATTCACATCTGTTTTCAAAGCGCATGTAAATCTTGTTTAACATTGCATTGATGATATCTCTTTAAGCTGGTTATATCTAGAAGCCATATTACTGATTCCCACATGTTGCTTTTATTGGACTCTCCTAAAAAGGATTAAACACTGACACCTGGTTATTATCACCAGAGATTCTGACTTACACTGATCTAACTAAAAAGCCTTTAAAAATCTTCAAAACAAATTCATTGTTTCTCAATACCATGTAGCCTATTATTATTACATCTGGTTTTAAGTCATTATCTTCTTGTTCCAATATCACCTTTCCATAGATTCCTTTTAAGGCTGTGTGAGGTCTCTGTTTTTCACTACTCTGTGCTTTTCCTAGCTGTATGGTGCACGTTCACTCATGCTCACTAAATTTTATTATAGTGATTATTCAGAATACTTCATTGCGTTCACACTCATGAATTCTCTGTGTTTTAGAAGCTCCCTTCTCATTAACATCTCTGTTGAACCCTATTATATTTTCTGTGCCTTTGTCCTGAAGCCACTATCTGAAGCATTGCACACATTCTGATTTCTCCATTACATTAACTAGATTTGTTTGCATTTGTTGAGCACTGAGCAATGAATTGTAGCATGGTGGGGGAAAAATAGTACTTTGTTAACTGTCTGCAACTGAAATATTTCAAAAGATGCTTAAAGAATAAAGCTAATTTTTAATATGTGGCTGTGTTCATGTGTCCAACTGTGGAGACAGCGATGTTCTTGTGTTTGCAGTTAATGTATTGCACTAGGGTTGTCGGAGGATGACTGCCAAAACCTGACTACATAAATTGAACTTTTGCTTTTTTTTGCCTTGCTGTAAGATTGCAACTATTCTTCTCAACAGCCATAGAGAGCTATGCTTTTACCTCTAATTGATAGATAAAGATCTTTATAAGTAAAAAACAT